CTTTGTGTAATGATGCAGCAACAGAAAGCCATGTAATGTTTCTGAATCAGTAGACCACTGATTTGGAGACATTTAGAGAAAAAAATAATACAAACTGGACTAAGTTAAACACATTTGCAGTTATTTGTTTTAAAACTCTGAAAGATGAAGGAGCATTTGGGGAATAATAAATTGAATACACATTTATGTTTTCTGCATTCATCCTTTTGGGGTTTGATACTGGACCTGATACTGAATATTGGCAGGACAGAGGCTGATAAATGAGGTTCTTCTTTCTAAACTGGTATTTTTACCCAAACCAAAAACATCAGACAGAAACTCTGCTACATCATAAAGACAAAGGCTGGAATATCAATTTTGCCTGTCTCAATTGAGCAAGGAGCAGTTTATTGGTCAATATGCAGAAGGCCAAGTCTAAATATATACACAAGGAAATCTAACCACCAAATGCTGGTTTCATGCTCAAATTAAAAAAAAAAAAAAAGAAAAAGAGGTTTAATATACACAATTAGACAATAATATAGTGTAGATTATGAATACATTTCAAGGGGAAAAATGCACTATGGTAGCCAAAAGAGGACTGTTTTTCATCATCTATTCTTTTTTACATATCACTCTGATTCTTTTCTTGTTGCTTCCTACCTTTTCCCTTCAGAAGTAGATTTGTAAATTGTTCAAGCTAAGATGTTTTTTAGAAGACAAATGCTACTTGCAGGGTCATTGCAGAGGTGGGACATTTATGATCCATTTGTGTTTTCATCAGGATGTATTTCCTTAGAAGGGTGAACTAAAATGTGCCACAATCAGTCTCAAAATAAGATGAGTTGCTCTATTTGAGAGCATCATGGATGCTGTAGCAATCTAAGAATGAAAAATAATAGTTTGAGGAAAATATACACTGTTACCTTTTCCTAAACATTTTACAAGCACTTGCCCCCAAGCATATATTTGGTAAAATTTTCATACATAATTATGAACTATGGGGGAAGAAAAAAAAAAAACAAAAACAAAAAACAAACAGCAACCCACAAACCACAGATAAAACCCACAAAATTTCCTTAGACAGCTGGCAAACTTCCCTCTCCATCCCATTTACCAGATGTCTCTGCAGTGTAAAAATCTGGATAAATAATACAAAATGTTCAGGGTTCTGATAGACATATGACAGCAGGTTAAAGTGAAAAACTGAAACAAGTGTAAGGTTATGCACAGACCACGTGTGTCTGGACAGCTGTGCCAAATCCAGGCATGTCTGCTCTGCTTTGGTACCACCAAGAGCCCAAATTCAGCAGACACCTTCCACTAGGAAAGTTTCATTCCATTTCAGGCTGAGGAGATGACAGGAGCAACAGTGTGGCAGAGAAGGGAAAAGTAACTTCTGTGTCCAAATAGGTGCAGAAACTGTCAGAGAGAAATACTGGCTGACATGTCACACAATTTCTTTCTCCACTCAATATAGCAGAAAAGCACCCAATTAACCTGTATCAGATCATTGTCACAATTAGCATACTATTTTAAGGCAGGATCTTGTGTTCTTGGCAGCTAAAATACTCAAGGTGAAGCCAGTTCTGAGATAAGCAACTTAATATTCCCCAAACTCCCTGGTTCCTACAAGCATCAAAAGCAGAATTCAGTGATGAAAAGGTAGATGAGTGAAATCAAGAAATAATTCCCTGACCCAGCACACAGAGAAAAACACCTGGTACAGTAGAGAGTGGGAAATAGCTGTAATTATTACACAGCTGCTAAAGGGAGAAAATTAAGGTAATTTAATAATTTAATGCTATATATTTCTTCTGAACTATCTCATGTCAATCAGCATCAAGGCTTAAGCAGCAGGCTGTGACTATTGGTTTTCCCAATGATTATCAGGAAAAACTAATGAAAAAAGTAATTATGTAGTTAAGTTTAGTCAAACACATAACTCATGAAAACTTAAATTCTTAGATCATTTAAACAAAACCAGAACTACTGTCTTGCTCTCAGAAAGCAAGCACCTAAAATTGCAGTTAACTAGAGAAGTTTAAAGGTCACATTGAAAATTGCCTGTTGGAGCCATAAACCTTCTGTTCCTTGGTGGACAAAGATTTCTGCTGGCATTAAAAACTGTAATTCGAGCTTCCCTCCTGGCTTTGAAATGAATAACCCCAGCTCTACCCTGACAGATTTCCCCAAAAAAAACTTTGCTGTGAAATAGTGGATCAGAGCAAACATTAACTGGCATGCATCCCAAATCCAGCCTGAAAAGTCCTGGAATTAGACTGTGCCTCCAACATGGTGTTCAGACAATAATTCAACTTAAGATAACTAGGATCATTTGAAACAATAAAAGAAATATGAAAAAAGAAAATAAAAGGATTAAATATACCTTTTTTTTATCTTAAGCATTTCTAAAACTTACATTTATTGTGTACAGTTTTGGATTTTTTTTTCTATTGATCATATATTGGATACAAAGCAAGCTTTACAATAGGATAGCTGTTACATCACAAAATGTTGTTGGGCTTGTCCACTACACAAGCACCACCTTTTGCTGCCAAAAAAGATTTATTTTAGACTGTGAGATACAACCAGCCACAGATACTCAGCTGTACAAAATGAATTTTGAATATTGGAAGAAACAAAACAATGGGCAAGGCCAGCAATAAAAAATGCAGAGAGAATTGTTAGTTTTGTTAGATCTGATAAGGAGACCTGTATGAAAAGCAGCCTAAGAAGTCATGAAGTCAAACAACATGTTAGAAAAAGATAATTTGTTTCCAGATACTGTTAAGTATTACTGCCAAACTGTTCAGTGTTCTGAGAGCAGAGTAAACAGCTATCCCTGAGTATTCCTCGTTAGTATGTGAAAGCAGGAGACAAAAATAGTCCTACAGCATAAGGGCCTAAACACCCCAGCTCTGTAAAGTTCATTTAACAATAAACCTCAAGCCTTAGTTTTGCAAAAAACTATAAAGGCAAATTGCACAAGAGCAAGAAAATATTCATTAAAAAAATTGAAGAGGAAATTCAGAACTGTGTTTGGATGAGATCCTTGTGAAAACCCACACTTATTGTCGAGGAGAGCCCTTTATTTCATGTTGCAAAGGCTTTGAAATACAAAATAAGGAAGAAAGGGCAAGAGGTATGTGCAACTCAATGAAGAAATCACCACGTCAACTGTAGGGACCTAAAGAAAACCTGGGCAACTCAAATAAGTTGGTAAAAATTGTCTCCCAATTTGCTCTGGAAACAGATGTCTTCATGAAAACCCCAGAAAACAACAGCTTTTGCTTTGAAGTATCAAAACCTCCAGTTTTCTTGAAGAAATAATAATTAAGCCTTTATAAGAATATTTTATGAAGATAAGGGGTAACATAACCTTTTACCAGAACCCACCTGATACTGACAGGATTTATAGGGTTTTTTTAGTAAAAACAAACATGAATCTGCTCTCAGACAACCAAACTCACAACTCAATGAAGAGGTACAGATTTACCCATGGTTAGATCAAACAGCTAACCCTGGTGAAAATCAGATCCACAGACCCAGGCATCCTGCTCAGAAGCACAGGCTGCTACTTATATTTGAGAAATATAAATCTAAAGTTTTCCCTGCAAATCTAAAATTTTCACATCTCGTAGTGAAAAAAGAGCTTACATCCCACACCCCTTGATTTTTCTCTTAGTAAAAAAAAAAATAATTACAATTCAAGTGCAGTAATCCAACTAAAAACTTATTTTCTGTCAGCAGAGAATTATGACAACTTCTAATTACTCATTATAGCACTTGTATCAACAAAAAAGAAAAATTAACGGATCAGGTTTCAAAAGGGATATTGGTATATAAATACAGAAACTTCTAATGAAGTTTCAAAATAGGATTAAACAAGATTACAGCTACATAAGAAAAAGCCTTCAAAATCAGATAGAATAGTACTTAAAATCCTAATGTCTGGCCCAGTCTAGGTTAGCCTGGAGATGTCTGCAAGTCTTTTCAGTTTCCTTCTGAACTAATTTTCTTTGTTAGCTCAGAAAATAGTCTCAAAAGCAACAGTTTCATTTAGGCTATTTAGAATGTTCTTCCTCTATTGCATCTACCACATAGTGTGTGTGAACAACAGGATTCCCTCTTGATCTGTTTCCCAACTCCAAATTAGTTTATGAAATAAGAAGGTCTAGCAGATTATCAAATTGGGGTACTTTGCAAGCCATGGATTGCTTTTGCCTTGACTTCATCCAGAGGGAACACTTGAGCATCACAGTTCACACAAACCATTTCTGAAATCTGCTTTTATGCATAAAGGACAAAGGCCAGATCAGGTACTACAGCTCTGCTTCCAAAGTGAATTTCCAACTGCTGCCTGCACACTGTAACAGTCTGTGTGCAGATCTGCATGCACAAACCAAATTCCTCATGTCTTCCACTCATTGCTGAGCTTGCCTGACACTTGCTAATTCCTGTGCAAAGATAATCATGCAATATCAACAGAAAGCCCAAAGTAGTGACTTTGTCTTTCAGCAGGGTTTAAATTAGACTCAGCATTATGTTGTCAGGAGTTACCCCAATAGCTGAGGACAACCTGCCTTCCAAGGTGCTCCAAGAGCAGGGTTCTGGAGCAGAACACAGGGCCTGGATTGGCTGCATTTGTCCATTTTTATACAGAAAATCAAGACTACAAATATTACACTGAGACTTCCCAGCAGTGACTGGGGTGTATTCAGAAAACACACACACACACACTTTGTCTCAGCCCATCACCAACAGGCAACCACAAACATGCACAATTTGTCAGCTAAATGAGGAGATTACTCCTAAGCACACCCTAGTACTTTCTTTAGCAGAGTGGCATTTTGGGGAACACTGAGCAATTCTTCTCTTTCAGCACATCAAAAAAGCAAAATTCATTCCTTCAATTGCACCCCTTGAATGCTGCAGTCTAAGCACTTAGACTACCTTAGCCAGGAACAGACTGAAGAGAACCTGACTCCAGTATTTAACCCAAAGTGTCACAGACTTACACCTGGCATTTCTGTAGAGCAGAAAAGGGTCCTGCAGCTGGAAATCCAGGTCTTTAGTAATGGGTTCTGTTCGGTTTTCCATGCTCAGTCTGTTCATTATTGTGAAACCATGCCTTGGAGAAGCTGATCTGAAAGGGAACAAGTAGAAATCCCATTAAGTCAAGGGAAAAGGAAATCACAAGAATTTCTTTATTGGGTAATTCTCCAACTCATTATTTATTTTCTTTGTTAGGTAATGCTCCAATTCATTATTTATTTATTTCCAAGAGATGCTACAACAACCTAACTTTGTTGCCAAGGAAATAACAATTGACTTTTGCAGTTTTGGTAATCCTTTTAATTATGGCAAAGGCCTACATTAGGTATGAGAAATAAACAGACCATCAGTACCACATGATCCAATGCCACCTACAGCTCCTTGCTGGACTAGAAAGCAGCAATGAAACCAAGTTAGAGCAAGGCAAGCCCTCAGCACTCAGGTGAACAACTGCAGATACTAAAAGTCAAAGAGAGAATTTTCTATACTACCTAAAACCTAAGGATAAAAGCCACCACGTGAGAAACTGAAACAGGTTGCCCCAGAGCAGCTGTGAATCCTCTCCCATCCCTGAATAATCCCTGATAAATGATGAACCTAAACCAGGCTGTGGCTCTAAGTCACTATGCTCATTCATGGAGATTACACTTCAAGTCACTTAGATAAAACTGTTGAACCTGTCATGATCCTGACAGGAGGCACTCCTTCCAAACCAAGTTTGGCAATAAAGGAAAAGATGATGATGGCTAAACATTTGGGAAAGGTGCCACCTCTGCTTCATTGCTGCTGTGTGGATTTCTCTATGAAACCAAAATACAGGAACCTGTTTTACAGGATTGGAGTCAACCAAAAAAATAATCCTTGTTTGCAAGGGTCAGTATTTCCCTTCAAACAAACAAACAGTCCACTTCCACTGGTGCTCAGCCAGTTGGAAGTCTGGTTTTTTGGCTGTTCCTTGAATTCCCAAAGATGAGCTGGGCAGTGAATGAGTCAGGCCAAGTAAAATGGTAACATCACTTTACATTGTGACTAAGGTAATGAGGAGAAACAAACACAGCACCCGCAGTCTCCAAACTGTCTGCTGGCAATGTGCTTCCCACAGGACTTCATTAATTTGAAGTCACAGAAAATTAAAGTTAAAACTGATGATGAGGACAACGCATGCTGTTACTCACAGTTTACAACCTGCTCCATACTGCTGCTCAAAGTACAACCTGTGCCCTAAATGGAAACTTCCTCAGGCAACAAACACAACAGTGAAAGATAACAATACCAGAAGGACCAGGTTTCATGTCGGCAGTTCTTGAGCTCTGAAACCAACACACCAGGAAACACTGGTACTGTTCTGCAGCACACCAGTCACCACATCCACAACAAAGGGCTGCTGCTTTCCTCTTGTGGTGGCAAATTTACAGCACCTCATCTCCACTGACCTGAGAAAAACTGCTGATGACCATTGCCACTGTAACCAGGGACTGGAACCAGCACTCCCACAAAGCTCACAGGCTCCTGGGCCTCTCTGGCACCTCACACACTGCTCAAAACCATCTCCTGCTTTCTCAGCGCTCCTAACAGATCCTCTTTGCCACAAAAGCTGAAAAAGTAACTTTCTGCTTTGGTGTTACGCCTCAGCAGCTGCTGCAAGAGCTGCTGACTGTGCAACTCTCTGATTTTAACAGCAGTCACAGAGAAATGCTGGGGCACCACCATGGAACCCCCACAACAGAACAAACACACGTGCTACAACAAATGGTGCAAAAAATGAGGTTCTGAAAGCCACAACCAGAGCTGCTGCTAAAAGAAAGCATGAAAACCACCCAAAATGTTGGATGAAATATGCATGAAAAATGAACAGACACAAGTAGCATGAAAGTTCCCTGAGTAGGGGACACAATATTTTAAAAGCTCTGCCATTCCCTTCCTTTCAGCAGTACCATTATTTATTTCACTCTTTTTTGTTCAGACAATTTTAAATTGCAAATCATACTTAAACCACCACAGAAGATTTCTACAGTTTACCCATGTAGTGGTGTTCACAGGGGTATTAGGATGAGGGAAGAGACAAGAATGTTGATTCCATGTTTCAGAAGGCTGATTTATTATTTTATGATATATATTATATTAAAACTATACTAAAAGAATAGAAGAAAAGATTTCATCTGAAAGCTAGCTAAGAATAGAAAAAAAGACAACAAAGGCTTATGACTGACTGAGACAACCCAGATAGCTGGACTGTGATTGAGCATTAATTAGAAACAACCACATGAGACCAACCACAGATGCACCTGTTGCATTCCACAGCAGCAGATAATCAATATTTACATTTTATTCCTGAGGCCTCTCAGCTTCTCAGGAGGAAAAAATCCTAAGGAAGGATTTTTCATAAAACATGTCCCATACTGACATTTAAATCCCATTTGGAAGTCTTATCAAAATACAAGGTCATGTCCATTCAGAGGGTTCTCCTTCCCACATTTGCTTCTGGCAGTTTCAGTTTCCTTTCCTTAAACAAATGGGAGCATTTTATTCCTTTCAGCCATGCTCCATCCCAGCCAGCTTTTCCACAGGTTTCACCCACATGTCAAAATGTGCTCACCTTGTGTAAACAAACAGCGTTCCCTCCACATCTGTCTTCTCCTGAAGAAAAGGAACATTAAGAAAGTTGAAAACAGGGCAGTGTTTTGGTCACCATCAGTGAGCCCCCTTTTTCTCTGTTTTACCCAAGCCAGGAAAAATTACTAAACTCAATTTCATGGGTTGGTGGTGAGAGGCTGGAGCTAGCACAGGTCACCATGCAGCTGAGCCAGGGTTTAAGGTAAGATATGGAGCTGGGTTCATTCCAGGCTACACCTGAGCACAACACACAGGCAAGAGGCAGAGAGAGGAGTTTGCAAAGGGCACCTGTCCTCCAGGGTGTTGTTTGGCACAGAAATGGGGGAAAACAACACAAAAGGCAGGTTGGACAGGTTCTTCAAACACAGGCCCTGAGTCTCACTGTCACAGCAAGCCAAGAACCACCTGCCAAGAGCCTAAATGTCCTATTACCTACAGTTTCCCCAAGGTAATTATGTTTGTACATTTTACAACAATGCTTTTAGCACTGGTAACTCCACCACTCTTTTGCAAATGTTTGCGTTCCATTACAGGTGTTGAAAGGGCAGATGAGTGCCTGAGACCCAGAGCCCTGAGCTAAATCCCAGGCCTGGCTTAAACCCCAGCCTTCCATGGCCTTGGGATAAAAACCAGACTTGGGTTAAACCACAGTCTTCCATGGCCTTGGGATAAAAAACAGCCCTGGGTTAAACCACAATCTTCCATGGCCTTGGGTAAAAAAACAGACATGGGTTAAACCCCAATGTTCCATGGCCTTGGGATAAAAATTCAACCTGTGTTAAACCTCAATGTTCCGTGGCCTTGGGTTAAAAATGAGATTCTAGTTAAACCCCAGTCTTTGATGGCCTTGGGATAAAAACCAGCCCTGAGTTAAATCCCAATCTTGGGGTTAAAAACCAGATTTGGGTTAGAACTTGGGTTTTTAACCCTTGGGTTAAAAACCAGACTTGCGTTAAACTCCAGCCTCCATAGCCCTGGGTTAAACCCTAGTCCTCCACGGCCTTGGGCTAAACTCCAGCCTCCTCAGCTTTAAGTAAACCCCAGTCTCCCACAGCCCCAGGCTAAACCCCAGCCTCCCCCACACGTGGCTGAACTCCTCCATCCTGCTGCCATTCCCGGGCACCCCGGTGCTCCTCAGCGTGCCCAGGCCGGCTGTCCGTACCACACCGGGAATCACTGGGACACACCGGGAATCACGGGAATCACCGCCGGGCCCGTCCCGCTCCCCACCCTCACACCTCGCCGGGGGGCGGGGCGTGCCGGGAAGGGGGCGGGGCGTGCCCGCGGCGAGGCCCCGCCCCCGCGGCGCGGCGGTGGGCGTGTCGGGGCGGGCGCGCGCACGTACCCACTGGCTGGCGCGGTGGCCGAAGGTGTAGAGCGCCACCTGGCTGGCCACGTCCACGATGCCGCTGATGTAGGGGTCGTGCTGCCGCAGCGCCGCCAGGCTGATGTCCAGCCCCCGGCCCAGCGCCGCCGCCATCTTGCGCCCGCCGCGCAGACCCCACCAATCCAGCGCCGAGCCGCGCCGCCTCGGGAGCAGCCGCCGCAATCGAGCGCCGAGCGGCCGGCGCTCAGGATGGCGGGCGGTGGCGAGGGGCGGGCCGGGGACAGGGTCAGAGAGACGTGGGGTCGCTTGGTGTGTCCACAGCAGCACAGGGACGGACCAATCCCACACACGACACGGGGAGCCGAGCTGAGCATGGTGGTTCCAACTCCTCCGTGTCCTCCTGGGAGTGCTGTGGTGCTCCTGCTGCGGCTGTGCTCATCCTTTAGGAGGGCACGTGCGGGAGCTGCGCCTGTTTAGTCCAGCTTCAGGTCTCTAGAAAAGAGAAAGCTGAGGGGGATCTCATCAATACACGTAAATATCGCCAAGGAAAAGTGCCAGACTAAAGCGGTGCCCAGGAACAGGAGGAGGAGCGGCGGGTACAAACTGAAACACAAGGAGTTCCACCCCAGCATGTAGAAGAACTTTACACTGAGGGCGGCAGGGCACTGGAACAGCAGCCCAGGGTGGCCATGGGGTCTCTCCGGAGACATTCCAAGCCCACCTGGAGGCGTTCCTGGTGCCACCTGCTCCAGGCGGCCCTGCCTGGGTGGGATGATCCCCTGAGGTCCCTTCTGAACCGAGCAGCTCCGGGAGTCTCTGCGGGTGCTCTGGTGCCCCTGCAGAGAGCGGGACCGAGTGCGTCCAGCCCGTGTGCCCGCGAACTTGGGGTCCATGGGGGGCCTGGGGATCCAGGAGGGAATCGGGGGTTCATGAGGGGCTCGGGGATCCGTGAGGGGCTTATGGGTACATGAAGAGCTCCAGAATCTGTGAAGGGCTTAGGAATCCGTGAGGGGTTCTGCCCGGCTCCAGTCCCCTGGGCCAGGGAGAGCAGCGGGCCCGGATCTCCGAGCCCACAGCCAGCCCGTGTTTGCTGGCACGCCCTCACACACCCCTGCACCCAGCTGAAGGGAGCAGCATTGCAAGCTAAACCATCACACAGCCCTCATGTGCATAAATAAACACACAAACACATACATATATATATATACACTCGTACGTGCGACAAGCAGCTGAAACCTAAACAAGCATACTGTAATATGGAGTTATACAAACAGCGAGCAACAGATGGACAAGAGCAAGGATTCAGTTGCCACCTTTTCCTGTCAGGCACACATGTTTGTTACTAATCCGTTGGTACCGACAGTTTACAGCAAATACATGAGCTTGATGAGGCATGCAGATAAGCTCAGTATATTGTACTTCCATGGAAAAGAGTTGCTTAACCCTCCTGACTGAACCCCCTGCAAGAGCAAATTCTTTTTACTTTATCACCTCAGCCGCCACCTTCCCTGTACAGAAGCAGTAGGGTGGTATATCTAGTGCCAGAGAACTTCCAGGATGCCCTGGAAGAACCAAGGTGGTGGTAGTGGATGCTGTCTTAATTGTTTGCAATATTCCTGACATAGCATTCTCAAAAGGATAGTAGCTGGACAGAGGGGATGAGGTCTGGTGTGATAGAGAGAGAAGCAGCATCTGTTCCAAGAGCACAGGGGCAAGCCTAGGTAAAAGATTCCCATCGTGTGAAGTGAGGCTAGGAGAGAATTGAGAGACAGCAAGCTGGGAATTCATACAATTAAATGTATGGACAGCAAGTCTCTTGAGTGGAGTTAGGAATGGCCATGTTGTCAAAAAGGACAGAAAGAAAGGCTGGTTTTTGTGACTTAGGAAAGACTATAGGTTATATTGTATCCCAGAAGGCCACCAAAAATTGCATCAAAGGACCTACATCTTGTTCTGCAAGCATCTATTAGGAGAGGAAACATCTGAACATACTCTGGTTATAATCTGTCTCACTCTCATTTCCTCCTTGTCTAAAGCCACCTTGTTTCATTTGGGGCTGTGATGAAATACAGCTTTAGAGTTTCGAATTCTGTGGTTTTTTTGCGATGCTTGTGGTAGGAAAATGGCCCTAAGCAGTTCCACTGCAAAGCTCTGGCTGACCTAAAGATCCTGTAACAGCAAGGAAGATTCATGGGCTCGTGGTGGACAAGGAGAACTGCTGTCCTTAGCATGACCCAGAGTAGGGAGGCAAAAAAAAAAAACCACCAAAAAAAAACCAAAAGAAAAAGTAGCAAGCAGGAAAATCAGCTTTGGCTTAAATAATTAACAGAAGCACATTAGTTTCTTTTAACTGATTAAATAGTTCTCAATTCACAGTTTCCAAGCACCCTTAAGCACATTCCTCATCATGTGCTGGGACTTCTCTTTACCATCAGCTTCAATTCTTGGGCAATCCTCCTGCTTACACAAAGTCCAAACGTCACCAAGGATAGAAATGTGAAACTTGGAATCCCACTCCTTGACTTTTCCTTCACAGATGCTTTTCCTGCCTCCAACAATAATATTTAAAAAAAAGATGCCCTGCTATTTTTTTTCTTTTTGTTTTCCTTTAAATCTCTTCAAGCAGACCTGCCAGATATTTTGGCTGCGTGTTTCTGTTTGTAGCTGCTTTTTACCACCTCCCTCCCAGGTCCCAGTGCCCCTTTCTCACACATCTGGACATACAGTTCCCTGACATTGTGTTTGGAGCCAGCAAACCTGTCAGGCTTCTGACCAGGCTTTTTAATATTTTCTGTTAAACTCTGAGGTACCTTCAGCAGGTTCCAGCTGTTTTCCTGCATAAGTGGAATGTAATTGCTCCTTCCATTTAGCCTGAAGTAAATATACTTAATAAAGCCATTAGTTCTGCCCTGCTTTATGGGATCACTTGATAGCAAACTAAAAATTTTCCAATGAAACAAGATGCTGTTAACAACAGAAACACTCTGAATTCTCTAAAAAATTAAGAATGTTTTAGCAAAAAGTGTCACAGCTTAAAAACATTGATTATTTAAACTATGGTTCTTTCTCTTACAGTCAGTAATCCAGTAGTTCATGACAACTGTAAAATCAAGTCTGAATGATTTTGCTGTAATTTTGTTTATGAAACACAGTAATTTTCTAGCTTTCAAAATGTCATCATTTCATGCAGTATATAATTGGAATGTAACTTTTTTGTCTTCTACCTACCTGGATACTGTTTTGTTAAAAAAAACCCCAAACCACATCTTGCTTTTGATATGGTAAGAAAAGGATTTCGTGTAGGTAACACTCAGGCCAATTTAAGGCAAAATCCACCCAGCATGACATTTTGAAGGTCTCCTTTAATAAAAAATGTGGACGTGATTAGGCCAAACCTTTTCATGAGGGTTGTTCAAGCAGTTACTAAACCTTCACATTCAAGGATCTGTGACACTTTAAAAGATTCAGACACGCTTCCTCCAGCAAATTGTTGGCACTGAGCATATGATTTTCTGTGGATTTATTTGGGGACACTGCTCCAGGTCCCAGGCATTCAGTCCTGCCCTTCTGGCACCTTGGTTCCGGCCTGGCACAGGTGTGTGCGTGGCCTCAGTGCGAACCAGGCAGATGGGGGAAATGAACTGTGTGAGAAACAAGTGCTCACAGCCCTGCTGAGCTCCCAGCCTCCCCTGGCTGCCTGCCTACCTGCCCACACTCGCTCCTTCCTCTGAGCTGCACCTTTTTCTGATAAACAGCAGAAATCACTTGAGCCAGTGTGATGCTGAGCACCTCATTTGCCTCACTTCCTCCTCTCCAGCCCCTTTGGAGCTGTTATTGCATGGCAGTTGCCTTTTCCTTCCTCTTCCTTCCCAAAGGCTGCCACAATTTTCTTCTCACCCTCTCTGGTGGCACCACTGCTGTCCCTGCTAGAGGGGAGAGTGCTGAGGCAGCACTCCTAAGTTCCTCTTACTCATCCAGGGCCACTCAAATGCATTTGTGTGAAGCCTTCCAGCATGCTACTTTCCCGGGAGCAGCAGGTTGCTCTGGAGGAGCCAGAATGATCCAGCAAGGCTTGATTACCCATGCTCCACATATTCCTGGGCATATGCCCTCAGTGCTGCAGCATGGCAGCTCTCCCTCTTTGGCAACCAGTGCCCTGTGATGGTACTGGAGCCTGGCTGCATCCCTTCCCAGGCACAACTGAAATAGGATGGTTTTTCAGCCCCTCTCCCTCTTTAGCAACCAGTGCCCTGTGCTTTCTCTCTACTGGAGCCTAGCTGCATCCCTCCCCAGGCACTGATAATTTGAAATATGTGCTCTTCTCAGCCCACTTTTATTAAGGCCCTCAGTAGCTTTGCACTGGAACACTTTCCTCATGCTCAAAAATCAAAAATTTAGGTCATACTCTAAGAACACTTCTTAATTCCAGCCCTAATAGTTAAAACAATTCTAGTCTTTTTGCTAGTAATTTATTACTTGCTGAAGGTTCCTTCATGAGTATAGGGTCAGACTATTATGGCTTTATCTGTTGCTATTTTTAAAGTACTCTCTCTACACTAAAACTAAACCTGACTGCTTTCATTCTAATTCTAACCAGCTCCCCTCCTGCCCCCAGATAAACCCCAGCACATCAGGTTCTTAGCAGGCACATGTATCTGCAGTACAGCTCTCTGGTAAAATTTATCAGACTGTTTTGAAACTTTCTGTAATATTAGTCTACAGAGTTGCTGTTATAATATTAGAAAAAAATCTATATTACTGGAGCTTCCTACCTTGATGTTTCTCACAGACAACTCCTCTAAGCACTAACTCTTCCTCCTTCTTGTAACAACCAACTCCAGTTTCTTCTCAAGTAACCAACCCACTCTTTTATAGCACTCTTATTCTTATTGGCTACACCTGTGGCCTGTTAAACTCAGGCCTGTTCCTAATTTCTGATAATTGGCTCAGCTGCAACTCCTTAGGGGCAAGATTACTTTCGATAATACCTCTATTTAATTGTGTTCTATCCCCCTACACACATGAATGGGACAGCGTTCTTCAGCATTGTTGGATTTGGAATTCTGATATATTAATTAGGAAATAATTAACTATCATTTACTGTGATTTTGAGGGTTGCATTTTTCCTGCATTTAAGAGCCTGTTTTTTTTTTTTACCAAAAGAC